AGCAGGAATCGGCTTCAGCTTTATCTCTTGTTTGGCTCACCCAGGTGGGGGAGAAACAAAGATTAACCGGCAGAGGTACCACAGGATGGATATCTCCACAGGCTCCTCCCACCCACCCCGAGATGCACATGCTCAGAGAAGCTCACAGCTGCGCCCTTCCTCAGTTACAAGCAGCGTGTTTAGATGCTTGAGTCTAAGGGTAACCATAGGAGGGATAGATCCTTCATAGCCCACCTCAGAACTCTCCCTCCCCCGAGCAGGAGTGTGTATCCAAACAGCCCCCAGGAGAGTCAGAACTTTGGCAGCTCCCAAGTCTCCTAGCTCTAAGAGCTGGTCTGTCTCTCAGCCCCTTCTGGTCTCTCAAACTCCCCTTGGCTAAAGAGAGCTGCTCCAGCAGGCCTGGGAGCAGGGATGAAATCGGGCAGAAATTCCCTTTCCCCCACCTGCTCTAGATCCCCAAGTTCCCGAAACGTTTACTCAGCTTAGACCGACTCGGCCAGGCCCACCAGGCCCACTCCTTCCGTGGCCCAGGCCCTCCTCCCTCAGTGACGCCACCCCTCTTTCAGCTGAGCCACGAGGCCCCCCACGTGGGAGGAAGTGGCATGATGTGACCACACGGGGACCCTGGGACAGGCTCTTGCCCCAGCTAGAGTCCAGGAAGCAACGCTGCAATGGGTCACTGCACATGTTGTGGGACCCGTGTCTGTCCCAGGCGCACACTGTCTCTGTTCCTCTCTGCCCTTGACCTCTCTGCCATTCTGTCTCTTCCTGACTCTTGTTCTTCCTCTCCCAGGATTCGAGAGTCTCCTCTGCTTCGGGCAGCCAAGGACAACGACCTGTGTGTCCTGAAGAAACTCCTGCTGGACCGAACCTGTGACTTTCGGCAACGAGGTGGGATGAGAGTTTGATGTGATGGCGATGGGGCAGAAGCCCCTGCCCCTCCCCTACCCAGGGCTCTGAGGGTTCCTGCAAAGGGGCCTTGGAGCGTGTCTCTGGGAAGTGTCTGATGCTCGTGTTTCCCTCCACTCCAGGAGCCCTGGGGGAGACGGCGCTGCACGTGGCGGCCCTCTATGACAACCTGGAGGCCGCCATGGTGCTGATGGAGGCTGCCCCGGAGCTGGTCAAGGAGCCCACCATCTGTGAGCCGTTTGTAGGTGAGGAGCCTGAATGGGTTTTCAAGGTGGACACAGGTAGGAGAAGGTCTGAAGTCATCTCTTAAAATGAGCCTCAGAGGGTAGGTCGGGGAAGGAGTGATGGAGGTTCAGGAAGGTCTCCCTTGAGTTGGAAGGAAGGCAAAGGTCCTGGTCTTGGCTTTGGGTATCCGTGACCTTCTTGAGCCATTTATTATTTCCCTTCATCTCCTTTCATGTTCCCTGAAGGACAGAACTCTCTTTCTTTCATAGCAGCACAGTGATTACCTTTATATGCCACCCCCAGTAGTCGAGGGGGGGACAGCTAAGTGAACTGCTGGAGGGATGACTTGTTCTCAGTCTCACACCACTCTGCTGAGTCGAGGGCAGAAATCCATGCAAGGATCTGTCAGGGATCTCCTGTAAGCCAGGTGGATGCTGTGTCTCCGAGAGAACCGGGAACAGACCCCATGACTGAGGGCTCTCTTGTCCAGGTCAGACGGCACTGCACATGGCCATCATGAACCAGAACGTGAACTTGGTGAAAGCCCTGCTCGCCCACGGGGCCAGTGTCTCTGCAAGGGCGGTAGGCTCAGCGTTCTGCCTCAGTCCCCACAACCTCGTCTACTTTGGTGAGAGCCAGGGCCAGGGCTGGGGGGGTGGGGACGGGGCCAAGAGCAAAGGGAGGGCAGGCTGAGGGGGCTCCACTCCGGGGCAAGCTGGGAGGGGTCCGCCCTCCTAAGGCTGAAGGCCAGAACCAACCCCCGACGCAGGGCCCCCCCTCTGCACCGTCCCCGCCTCTGGTTCTGCTGACAAGCGTCCCCAGGCCCAGAGCTGAGATGTGGGGAGGGAGAGGCAGTCCCCTGGAGAGACTGCCCATCCCAGCCTGCACCCTCAAGCCACGGGGCCCTCTGCACCCCCAGGGGAGCACCCTTTGTCCTTTGCGGCCTGCATGGGCAGCGAGGAGACCGTGAGGCTGCTCATTGAGCACGGCGCTGACATCCGGGCCCAGGACTCCCTGGGTGAGAGCCGGGCTGGAGGGGGAGCTGGGTTGCAGAGGAGGGGCCGGGACAGCCCTCAGGTCCACCCGGGTCAGGGGGCGGGGGCATGGGGAGCATCAGGGACTCTAGTCCCAGTGGCCACGTGACAGCCCGTGTCCTCCCCCAGGAAACACAGTGTTGCACATCCTCGTCCTCCAGCCCAGCAAAACCTTTGCCTGCCAGATGTACAACCTGCTGCTGTCCTACGACGGGCGCGGGGACCACCTGCAGTCCCTGGACCTCGTGCCCAATCACCAGGGCCTGACCCCCTTCAAGCTGGCTGGAGTGGAGGGCAACACCACGGTGAGGGACCCTCCCCCAATCCCACCGTGTCCTTCTCATGACCCTTTTTCCAAAACTCTCCAGAAGGGTGGTGGTCCCTCACCTCCCAACACCATCACTAAAATCCTCAGCCTCCGAAATTCCTGACTCAGGAGGATTCGAGAATCTTACTTGAGAATATCTGCTACGGTAACCCAGAGTTCTGCTCCCCTTGCCTGTTCTCTTTCAGATCTTTATAGGGTTTGTGGGAAGGAAAGGTAGCCAAAAAATTAAAAGGTTCATGTCAACAGAGCCTTGTCAGTTCTCAGCTCTCCATCAGTCCCAAGGAGTAAGCGACCATGCTGTTGCCCTCGACCTGCTCCTTATGCGCTGACCCCCGCACCTCACCCCTCTGTCCACACAGATGTTCCAGCACCTGATGCAGAAGCGGAAGCACATCCAGTGGATGTGCGGGCCGCTGACCTCCACTCTCTACGACCTCACGGAGATCGACTCCTGGGGAGAGGACGTGTCATTTCTAGAGCTTGTGGTCTCCTCTAAGAAGCGAGAGGTATGGATACCATGGAGAATCAGGAGCTGTCGGGTGTCCGTGCAGAGCCTGTCCATTTGCTGAGATCCTGGGCTCCAGACACTTCCCTGCCCTGTAATAGATGGAGATGAGGACGGACTCCTGGGACCTTTGGGAGAAAATGCCAATCGACACCCCTTTCCTAACTCCACTCTCCCTCTGCTTAGCTCTGGTTCCTTCCACTTACCTTTCTCATACTAACATTGCATGTGAGGAACTCTCCAAATGGAAATTGCTTCCTATCATTCATTCATTCATTCATCCTTTCAGCATATTGAGCTTCTTGCTGTGTCCCAGCCACTGTACCAGGAATTAAGAATACAGAAATAAATAAAACACAGTTCGTTTCAATCAACTTTGTCAATTGCCCATCCCCGTCCTCAGTAATTGTAATAGGGTACAACATAAAGCATCATAAGGGTCTGTACTATGCACAGTGGCAGCAGGATGGAGGTTGGTTTATCTTGGCTTGGATAGACCAGAGAAGATGTCACAGAGTATGTGCTTGAGCTGGGGCTTCATGGAGGAGTTGGGAATCACCAGGAAGACGAAGAAAAAGAGAGCTTTCCAGAGAGGGAAAAACACGTGGGTCATTCAGACAGTTCTGGATTGAGTGATATGAGGGAAAGGAAAGTTTGTTGAAGACTTATAGCGGGGAGAAAATCGTTTGTGTTTTCTGGAACCTCCAAGACGGTGGCGAAATGTAGTTCCCCTTGTGTATCTGCCACCTGACAATTTCCTAGGAACCCTTCTAGAGCCCAACTCAGGTGATCACTGGTACTACTGAACAGAGGAAAAGGTGAGTGGCTGGTTGGTATGAACTTCGTCAGGGCAGGATTTCTTAGGAATTGGAACCCCAGTCCGTCTGGTGGATTGTGCCACCACAAATCCTTGGTCTCTGATTTCAGCTGGTTCTCAGTGTTCTGCTACGGGTTTTATTCTTGTCTTGGTCAGCTATTCTATTCCCTCAAAATTCCTTTCTAGCCCCTTCTGTATCCCTCACTGCCTTCGCCTTCAGTTCTACGAGGAGACCCAGATCCGTTCATTATGATGCAAATAGAGGCTCTCTGGCTGGAGCTGCTTCAGCTTCCTGCCTTGTCCTGCCCAACAGATCTGGAAACTGCCCACCGTCTCTCTCCTTCCCTCTAGGCTCAATGGAAAAGGTATTCTTTCTGCTAGTGAATACTCACGCCAGCTACGCTCTGACTTTGCCTCTTCCTACCTTCTCAGATGTGTTGTGCTGTCCATCATCCTCTCTCAGAGCATCTTTAACATCTCACTGCCTACTTACATCCGAGCACTAGCCCACCTGGCTGAGATTATGGCCACTCCCCACTCTTTGTGTCCTCTCTTGCTCCTCTCGGGTCCACAATACTTGTAGAGCAAATCTGACTGCCTCCTTGCTTGAACCTTCCAATTGCTTTCCGTTGCATTCAGAAAACAAAGCCCAGCTCCTTACTTTGGCATTCACGATGTGCCATGATCTGGCCCTTAGCTGTTTCACCCGTGATAACCCCTGCCCACCCCTCCAACAGGTTCTGCCATGTCCCCAGCCACACCTCATCTGTCAGTGTCTTCTCGCGCCTTCCTGCCTTGGCAACTGCTGCTACTTTATGGAATGACCTTGCCTAGCTGTCCCTTCACTCAACCATTTACGGCTCATCCTTCAGAGCCTCTGTGGTGCTGTAGGTCCTGGTGTTCACTTCTGTCATGGTTTATCTGCAGCACTACCGTGAGGCCTAGCGTACGGTAGAGGCTGACTGGTTGTCTGTAAAAGAAATGACAGACGAACTGAATGCGTGATACCCACGCTCATCGTGACCCTGCGTGATACCCACGCTCATCGTGACCCTGCGTGATGCCCACGCTCATCGTGACCCTGCCCATGTGGGACCCAGTGGGAAACCCAGTGCTGCTTCTCGCTACGGTGGTCGCCCCCAGCTGCACTTTTCTTCCGTGGCAGGCTCGCCAGATCCTGGAACAGACCCCAGTGAAACAGCTGGTGACCTTCAAGTGGAAGAAGTATGGGCGGCCATACTTCTGCATCCTGGGGGCCTTGTACGTGCTCTATATGATCTGCTTTACCATGTGCTGCATCCATCGCCCGCTCAAGTCCCGTAGTGGCAACCGCACAAACTCCCGAGACATCACCATCCTCCAGCAGAAGCTGCTCCAGGTGACTCTTCTCAAAAGGGCATGAAGGGAGCTGCTAGCATGGGGTGATGGCGCTGGAAACCAGAAGCACGCTACCTGGGAAAGATACCACTCACTTGGCTCCGGCAGGGGCAGGCTCCTGACCGCCCAGATAGAAATTAGGAGGGAGAGAAGGGGGCCAGAGTGGGGGCTCAGTGAGTCAGAGTGGGCTTCTCCAGGGAGCGATGGCTTTCTTGTGAACTTTGAAAGAATGCTTGGTATTAAAAACGTCATACTTTTGTAAAATTCCTTGTCATTTACAAAGAGGACCAGACGTTTGTAAATGTGACCTTCGGCAGAAACCGTGCTGTTGTAAAGGGAAGAAAACTGTGCTCCAGGTCCATTTCTGAGTCTGTTTCTGGTCTGTTAGGGCGCACTGTCAATAGGAGCACACTGGCAGTGATGTGTCAGCTGTCTGGCCACCTGTCAGGTGTGCTGCAGGAGGATGCCTGGACTGGGTCCCCTCTACTCTTGTGGGCTTGTCATTCTGTGGGTCACCCTCAGAGACCTGGGGTGAGGATGACTGAGTAGAGGTGTGGAGTAGATGTCAGGCTCTGCTGTTGAAGAGAGCAAACCCCTTGGCATGACAGAAGCAGCAGACTCTTGTGCATACTTCTGGGCATATACATTCAACACTGGGTTCGTTTAATAGGTAACCGAAATTCTTGTCCTAGTGACCTGAAAATAGCTGAAAGGGAGTGAAGGCATGTGGAAAGAAAGCAAAAGACAGAGGAGGAAGAATTTTGCCAGGCGAGTAAGAGCTTGATGACTGGAGACTTATGCCCAATGCAGGATGGGCCAGCCACAGGTATAGCTCAACCTGGACTTGGAAGAGGGGTAGTTTGGGATAGTTAAGGAGCAAAGAACCTGAGTCAAGTTAGACCAAAGAGAGTGGATGCACAGAGAGAGAACAGGGTGAAGAGCCTCACTGAATCCTGCAGTAGGTCGAGACACTCCGTGCTCCATACCTTTCCTCTCGGTAGGTATACAGTGTGCTGTCGTATCCAGAACCTCTGTCTCTCACAAAGCAGGGTTTGCTGCCTGGAGGAGACAGGCCTGAGTGGGGTGGGGCTGCCTTGTTAGAGGCGGGCAGAGGCGTGCTCAGGGGAGGTTGTGTTCCATGCATCTCAAACTAGACATGAAGGTTGTCCCTGGTGTGGAGACCACCCAACGGGAAATAAGGACATTTAAGGGGTGGCCAGCTGAGACAGGCGAGGGACTAGCAACGGAGGGGACGGGTAAACATGGGGGTGGCTGGACTTCTCCAGCGTTCTTGGCTCGATTTCCTCAGATGCATTTTTTCCCAACCTTCCTTTGTTTCAAACTTACTTGGGGGATTTTCTGGATCTAGACTGTAGATAGCCTTCTAACCTGAGGGTTGGGTGACGCTGAGCAACTGATTACCACTGAGTTTTCTTCCTGTGTGTCTCTTTCTCTTTGGGGCAGGACTAATTATGTACAGACCTGTTCCTTTGACCCAGATAGTCTAAATTATTATTAGGAGATCCCTCCCCTTGCCTCAGGACTAGGTGAAGCATAATTATAGCTGAGTGCACGAACTTTCCTTCTGTTGGCTCTCCTGTTCCTTCCTTGTTCCCTTTGGCATTTTTACCCTTCTGCCTTCCACTTCGATTAAAGCCACTTTGGCCCAAATAGAAGACTCCTGACTTTCAAATATTCTCTTCCTGGTGGGGGAGTGGACTTAAGAAGGCTGCCCTAAGAGGTTTGAATAGCAAAGAACATCAGTGAAGGTCTGTGTCTTTTGACGTTGCCCCTTGAGCCTTGGTCCTGAGTTGATGGAACCCCTGAGCTCCTCTTACTCAGTCGGAAGTCAGTCGGGATGAGATCGGGGGCTCCCAAACACATCACCGCGACTTGAAAGATTCTGCTTTCATGATGTGCCACATTTGTTAAATAATGGGAAATTCTTTTTTTCTACGTTTTTATTGCTTTGAAAGTCTTAGACAAATGAAAATGTACCAATACAGGGTCTTGACTTAATGAATGCAACTGTCGCCACATTAATTAGCCCATGGAGCTTTTTCTTAGTTAAATGAATACTTTTATATCCAATTACATTAATAAATCTGGACATATGGAGCTCTCGGTCACTGTAGGATTTCCTCTTTGGGTCTCATGGGATCTAGAAAAGTCACTGGGCTCCATGAGAGTAGCCCAGAACACCATCTCAAGACAGTTGAAATGAAAGAAAATACTCCTTTATTTATATGAGGTGGCACAAGCTACACAAAAGCAGACATATATGAGGGTAAAGTCAGTTTATCTCTGTGCAGTTTTGGAGATATCTCAGTGTCTTCACTCTAAGATGCCTCATTGTTCAGCCATAAAAGTTATGCTTTTCCAGGGTTTCCCAAGAGCTCTATAATTAATTAGAGTTCATTTTCTGTCTCCATTCAGTGTCTACTTGGTTTAGGCAGGACACCGTGCACTGTGGTCCTGGCTCTCTTAGGTTTCCAGGTGAGCAGAAAGTTCAAAGTCTGGGATTAGGCAGCTTAGGTTTGAGTCCTCACTCTGAAACCAAATAGCTGTTTGACCTTGGGCAGATCCTATCTCTTGCTAGATCAGTAGTTCTTAACCAAGACTACACATTAGAAACATGGGAGGCTGGCAAAAGTACTGGTTCCTAAGCTGCCCCACACCTGATACATTAGAAAGACTGAAGCTGAGGTCCAGGCAATGGTATTTTTAAGAAATTCTTTGAGTGATTCTCATTCTTAGCTCAGACTGAGAGCTTCTGGCTTCATCTTTGAGATCTACTCAGCTTTCCAGTGTGAAGTCGATCACTCTGATCATTTAGAGCCCTGATTTGCTGTTCAGCAAGAGGGCGTTGATCTCCCATCATCAGATTTCCTTTTTGTGTCTTGAAGATTTCCTTTATCTCTCCGCTGCCCTTTTCCCAAAATCACTTTGCTAATTCATTCACTACACAAGTAATCACCAAGAGCCTAGTGGGGCCTGAACATTGCTGTAAGTGTTGGAAATTCAACCTGGTCTGAGCAAAACGCAAGTAACCTCTGCCCTTTTGGAGCTTCCAGACTGGTTGACATTAATTACATGAATAGATATTGCAACCTGTGATGGTTACAATTCACATGATTTTTTCCTATGATGAGAAAACAGCGTGCTGAGAGAGCTTATAACAGGGGCCTGGGCACTCTGGGAGGTCAGAGAAGGCTCCCCTGACGAAGGTAACTGAGCTAAGATGTGGGTATGAATTAAAGGTGGAAAGTGAGTTCTAGGCAGAGAGGATGCATATACAAAGGCCCTGAGGCAGGAAGACCCTTGCCAGTGTCTAGGAACTGAAGGAAGATTGGCTAGAGTAGAGGGAGCTGGGGCAGGGGCCTCCAGATGAGGCTGTCCTGGCAGATCTTTCCCAAAACTTTCCCAAATCATACAGGACCTTGCAGGCCATACTGAGGATTTTACTCTTTATCCTAAAGGTAGTGAAAGGCTCAGAAAGATTTTAAACAGGCAAGATGCTTGATAACACTTTTGTTTCAGAAGAATGTCTCTGTTTGTAGGGGGGAGGACAGGTTTGAGGGGGCCGGGGAAGATGTGGGGGGACCAGTTAAGAGACTATTACAGTTCAGCGAGCAAAGATAATGGTGGATTGGCCTCAGGATGTGATGGGGGGACGGAGAGAAGGGGTTGGCATCAGGGGACTTATCAAAGGTAAATTCATCACTGCTGCACAGTGGATGGGATGTAGATAGTCAGGGAGAGGACGTGGCAGGAGTGACTCATAGGTTCCATTTATTTTAAATCATCCTCGACCTGTCACGGTCAGTGGGTTTGCTTTTTCTACACATCACAATTCCTCGTACGCTCTCGACAGTCCAAAGCACTACAGCTATTTGAAAACCCAGTTGATCTCCAACTCTGTACTGCTTTACTCAGGGGTCCTAACCAACTCACTTTGGAACAAGCACAGCAAATTAAAGACAAGACAGAGGTGAGGAGAAGCAGGAAGCCTGGTAGATAAAAATAACATCTACTGGGTGTTTGTTTTGCGCACTTGATGTGCATTTACCAGTGCTTCTGAGATCTTATTAAAATGCAGTTTCTAAGAATAAGGCTGGCGTGGGCCCTGAGATTCTGCATTTCTGACTCACGGCTGGGTGATGCTGACATTGTGATTCTGTGGACCACATTTCAGATGACAAAGCATTACACCATTTGATCCTCATAGATACCTTAGTAAGTAAATAAAATTATGATCACCATTTTAAAGATGGTGACTCTGAGGTCAATTAATACTTCGGTAGAGACACTCAGCTAGTAAGGGCAGCGCTGGGGTCGGGGTTCTGGTCTGCGTCACTTCAGAACCTTGAATACGAAGCCAGGCATTTCTCCCTCCAGAGTGAAATGCTCAGTTCCAGGCTTCTTCTTTGGAGGATTCACTGCGTGAGCAACTCATGTCTCCAAGCTTTGAGAGCTAGCCAGGGCCTGGCACACTCACCTGTACCTGGGCACACCTGATAGTTCCCTGCCAAGATGAGGAACGCTGGAGAGCAGGGGTGGGGGTCCAGATCTGGGATTGTCTCCAGCCTCTAGCTCCTGAGCTACTGTCTGGGCTCTAGTTCTGATACTAGGCCATGGTTTTGATGTGATTAACTTTTTGGTGGATAGGGTGCGTCCTGCTTCTGTGGGAATGGGTAAAGACTCCTTAGGAACGAGCAGACCTTTCCCAAGTTCATCTTCCTGAGAAAACACAGGGGCTAGGACATGGAATAAGCCCTTGGAAAGTAGACTTAGATGGAAACCAGGAGATCTTGCTCTCTTTTTGGCCCAGTGGTTCTCAAGTGGGGGTATGTGGCAGAAACATTTACATCCAAAAACAGAAGATGCTGGGTCCCTGCTCCAAACGAATTGAATTAGAGTCCTCAGGGTTGGCCTGGACACGTGTGTTGTAACAAAGCCTCCCAGCTTATTCTGATGGGCGGCCTGGTTAGGAGCCCCTGC